CACACACACACGCACGCATGCACACACACATACACACATGCCAAATGAATTATAGCACTTTCTCATTTTCTTTTTATGTTTTTTTTTTTTCATTTCTTTTCTGGAGGGTTTTGAACTTATTTTATTGTATGGCCACTGCTAACTAGGAAGAATAGAGGAGTTAATTAACTAGGAAGAATACAAGAGTTATTCCAATCCATAAACTAACTTAGCTTGGTTTTGGCATTCAGCTGCTGCTTAATTATTTGTTCCAAGTGCTGTAATATTGTTATGTTTCAAAGCATTTTTTTTTTCCCTCTAGTACGGTGGATCTGACCATCTTTTGCTGTATTATTCTATTTTTTACAGGTCAAAATCGGTCTTCGTGTTCTCACCCGCCCTGTGCCTGACCAGCTGCCTACCATTTATCGAACTCTTGGTGAAAACTACAACGAAAGAGTCTTACCTTCAATTATCCACGAGACTCTGAAAGCTGTTGTTGCTCAATACAATGCAAGCCAGCTCATCACCCAAAGAGAGGTAAGGAGTAAGGAGTATTATCCTTTTTGAATACTTTTCGCCACTCTGGGAAAATTATACTTAAGATGAATTGTCTACTGTTAGCCATGAATCTATCAGAAATGGAGAATTATGGGAAAGTATCTGATAAGGTGGGATGATATGTTGACGGCACTCTTCTGCTTAATGCAGAATGTCAGTAGGGAAATCAGGAAAATATTGACCGAGAGAGCTGCCTTCTTCAACATTGCACTGGATGATGTGTCGATTACCAGCCTTACCTTTGGAAGGGAATTCACTGCCGCCATAGAAGCTAAGCAGGTAGCTGCACAGGAAGCCGAGAGGGCCAAGTTCGTGGTTGACAAGGCCGAGCAAGACAAGCGAAGTGCTATAATCAGAGCTCAGGTAAAAAAGCATCATGTACTTGGTGGCATCTATGTGATGTTCAATTATCTTGTTCATCATTTTGTGTTGGGTTCACTCCTTCAGAAACTTTTAAAAGGTTAAAATTTTTTATTTTTAATTTTTTTTGTCGTGCTTTGGTGACCAGGGAGAGGCCAAGAGTGCCCAGCTGATAGGTCAAGCTATTGCCAACAACCCGGCATTTATTACGCTTAGGAGGATTGAAGCATCCAGAGAAATTGCCAACACACTTTCTGCTTCAAGCAACAAGGTGTTCTTGAACTCGGATGAGCTTCTTTTGAACCTTCAGGGTCTCGCATTGCAAGGCGGAAAGATTTGAATGCCCAAAATTACCGGACTTTCTGTGATTTAATTTTTATCCATCGAGAGCCGAGTGGGAGTAGTCTCAAAAGAAGGATGCTGGTGACATAAAACTTGAGAAGCAATTGTTTCTTGGATTCAATATGCTCTGAATAAAACAAATTTGTGGATTTTGAAACCTATCCTTTTCTAGTCCTGGGCACTTGCTGTTATTTATTTTTAATGTATAGGATTCGTGGGTGTTTGGTGCTTAAAACTCTCAGAAATATCATGATATTGAGGTTTTTATTCTTTCAGTCATCTGCCAGCATGTGATACAAAACCACGAAAATATACACAAATCAACATTTAAATCTCAAAAGTTGTTTGGAATTGATATGGACAAGTTTGGATAATGAAAAGATCTAAAATCGCACATGGTACAGTGAGGAAAAGAGAAAATTGATCTAGTCATAGTGCGACAACCATCACACTGACGATCTGAAGTCCTGGTTTCGTCATGACCCCGCAATGATAGTCACGACGCGACGCCCCAGTAGGGTGAGACCAAGTCCCGACACACGTCACAATGCGACCCTGGTCGCACCTGTTTTCCACCAAGTGCTTCCGGCTCAACCGATTGACTTCGTTTCTGCCTAGACTCGTCTGTAAAGGTGTCTTTTGACCCTTAAACCTCTTGAAGTGTTTTTTCACATTTATAAACATCCACATTCTTGAATCATTCAAGATAGACTTTCAATTTAAGAGCTCTTGCAGTACCCTTTTAAATAGTTCATAGAACATATAGTGTTTTTTATTATTCATTGAGACTTGAGAGTTCCAAACAAATATTATTGTTCGCCGAAGGCTTGTATATTTGAAGTACCTCTATATACAAGTCAAAAGTCATTGTATCTTTCAGGTGTTTACCGTTAATTATGGGATTTTACGTGGAAACTTCATCTTAAGGAGAATGTAACTATTATGGGACTCGACTTTACTTTTGTTTCCGTTTTCTTTATTCTCCCAAACCATATCCTTCATATTCTCATACCACGCAAATAAATAAATAAATAAATAAATAAATAAATAAATAAATATCTTAAGACGAAGTCTTTGTGAATTCATAAGATGATAATCCAAGGAAACCAAACGTCTTCTTTGAGTGCTCAACCGATCGTTACACCAGCTATGAATCCATTAACTCAGATGGTAGTCGCCCCCGTCCGATGCGAGCGGCCACCGAAATTTAATGGCTCTAATTTCAAGAGGTGGAAACAAAATAGTCTTTTCTATCTCAAAACTCTATCCTTTCTCGTTTTTTTTCAGAGGACCCTTTGATCGTCCCCAAAAGTGAGATCGACGTCTAAAGGCATATGGCCTCGGATGCTTGGCTTCACAAACATTTGTTGTGCACAAATTACGTCCTTAACGGACTATATTAGATGACTCTCTATACAATATCTACAGTTCGATTAAGACGACCAAGGAGTTGTGGAATTCCTTAGAGGTGAAGTACACGACAGAAGAAGCTGAGATTAAGAGCTTTTTCGAAAATATTTTTAAGTACTTGATGGTTGACTATGTTTAGTAAAACTAGTTGATAAACTAACTTATAGTTTATATGTAATTTTCAAGCTTATAGCTTATGACATATAGCTAGCTTATATACTAAAAGTGTTTGGTAAAATTAACTGATAAGCTAGCTGAAATAAAAATTCAACTAGCTTATTTGAAAAACTACCTAAAAAAGTTTATGAGATAAGCTCGAGATTTTAAAACACTCGTCCTACTAAACGAGACTTATTTGAATACAAGAAGTATATAAGCTAACCAAATAAGCTATAAGCTAGCTTATTTGGCTACCAAACATGGCCCAAGTTGGTGGTTTGCCAAGTCCAAGAGATTCAAATATCTTTCACGATTTGTTGGCTGAAGGATTAAATGTAAATGAGGCCTTTCAAGTTGCGATTATTGTTGAACACTTACAGCCTTTGAAAAGACTTCAAGAACTATGCATGATAGAGGATGTTGGAGGACTTGATATTTGACTTCGGATTGAGGAAGATAACCAAAATTTTGAAGTGAGTGTCAACCAGAGCAGCTACAAGGCTAAGGCAAACTTGGTCGAGTTAAACCCCGACAAGAAGTGCAAGAGAACTTCTAGTGGCAAGCAACCACAATCGAGCACCAAATAAGTTCAAAAAGAAATTACTACAATTGTGATAAATTCGGGCATCTTGCTAAAGATTGTAGTCACTCGAAGAAGGGGTAAAAATAACGTGCATATAATCGATCTCACCGCCTCGTCCAAGAAGTTAACTTTGTTCAAAAACCCAAGGCATCGTATTGCTTGGGTACCAAGGTTGCCGGAAGCCCATAATGTATTCTAGGAAATGTGCGTGGAAGTAGTTGATGTGGATAAACGAACAGAATCCGTAAGAATCAGAACTTGCGGTGAGATTTCTTGTTCTTTACTAGTGCAAGAATGTTGATGATGATATTGTTGTGTTAGCAGAGTACTTAGAATAGGAAACTGTGTCTGTTCTAGGGTGTGACTGATTTATATGAGGTTTATGCTCAATGTGTAGTTTTGGGGCAAACATGTGACAAAATCTTTTATATATTCGTTGTGGCTGTTATTTTCGTTTATTTCGAACAGTAGTTCGATCTGAAGTTTTATGAACTCGAATTATGTTGACAAATTTCGTTGAGGAAGCTATCTTTTTCTTACAAAAATATTCTGGCATGAAGTTAAGGCCTCGGATTTGTTAACTTGAGCTGCATGTGTCTTTCACAATAGTAAGGGACCCAATTTATTTTCTATAAACTTAGCACACGGGAAAGATGAAGAGTTCGTTCTTGTTCCTTCGATTCTCGTTCTGCTTAGAGTTTGTTCCTTCGATTCTCGTTCTACTTAAGTACATTGAGTTAGCAGTTGACCCTAAAACCAAAGTTCCTCAGGGAAAAAAAAACTTATCATTTATTCTTTTTCATGTACACTGTGATCATTAAACATGCTAGCACCCGATTCACGCAGCATAGAAACCACCCGGCGCATGGAGGGACGACTGGTCGGGAGTTTACTGCCACAGATGAGTCCAATATCAATAACCTTGCGAATGTGTTCATGGAATTCTGAGTCGAGATTTGGGTCGATCACGTGATCTAGCCCTTCCCTTTTCAAGGTTGTACATACCCAAGTTGCCAAATCTCGGCCCCCAAGTGATGGGTCAGTTGGCAGTTTCCCGGTTACGAGCTCCAGAATGACTATGCCGAAGCTGTAGATGTCGCTCTTTTCGTTTACACGCAGTGTATATGCGTATTCTGCATTAAATTTTCGACCATATGTTAGCTTGAGCCAAATTGAGGATCATGATGTGTTTGATAAAACTAGTAGCTGATAAATGATTTTCGAGCTTATAGCTTATGACTTATAGTTGAATAGCTAGCTCATATGATAAAAGTATTTGTAAAATTAGCTGATAAACTAGGTGAAACAAAAATTTCAACGAAAAACTACCCAAAGAAGCTTATGAGATAAGCTCAAGCTTTTAAAAAAGGTTGTCCTACCAAACGAAGCTTATTTGAATACGGGAAGGTTAAAAACTGATCAAATAAGCTATAAATTTCAAATGACCTTTTAAGACTTTTTGAGATGTGAGACCTTTTAAGATTTTCAAATTTTGGAGAAATATTGTGAAATTTTAAGTATAGAGGTGAGATTTTGAACGGGATTCGTATGAGGTTTTTTCTTAACAAATCCCAACAGTCTTTTTAAATTTCGAGTGACCTTTTAAGACTTTTTGAGATTTGAGACCTTTTAAGATTTTTAAAATTTGGAAAAATATTGTGAAATTTTAAGTCTAGAGGTGAGATTTTGAATAAGATTCGTATAAGGTTTTTTCTTAACAAATCACAACAAATTTTAAAAAGTTTTAGTCTAAATAACTTAAATAACTCATGATTGTTATAAGATTTAATAATATTTCAACTAAATTAACACCTGGATTTCTAAAGTCTTAAAAAGTCTTTAGAAATCCCAAATTAATAAACCCCCTTTCGAAAAAAAAAAAATCTCATTACTAAATGTGACATATATTTCTAGTATAGCTTAAAGTTATTAAGAATGTTGCTTAACAAAATCACCTGGTGCAATGTAACCACAGGAACCAGCAATGACAGACATGGACTCCACACCATTCTCAACTTCCTTGACAACCTTAGCTACACCGAAATCCGAGATTTTAACACCGAAGTCCCGGTCGAGTAGCAGATTGTTCGACTTTACGTCCCTATGCACAATCGGCGGATCACAATCGTGGTGCAAATACGAGAGCCCCTCGGCAGCACCCAAAGCAATATGAAACCTCGTGGGCCAATCCAAAAGCTCACTACTCTTTCTTTCGCGGCCATGCAGCAAGTCCCCTAAGCTCCCGTTCGGCATGTACTCATACACCAAGAGCTTGCAGTTCACTGCATCACAACAGCTCAACAATTTCACAATATTCTTGTGTCTTATTTTCCCTAGTGTCTCGACTTCGACTTCAAATTCAGGGTTGTTTTCGTCATTTTCCCACTTCTCGTGCAGCTTTTTCACAGCTACTTCCTCATCATTGCTCATGACGAGTTTGTAGACTTTACTGGAGGCTCCTCCACCAATCAGGTTCGTCTCCTTGAGGCTGCTAATAATTTCGCTGTCGCTAAATGCAAGCTTATGGAAGGAAGTCCACTTAGTTATGGCGGCTCGATCTTCCTTAGCCATTTGCTCGATTTTCCTGTACCTCAACAAAACAAACCAAACGATCCCGACTAGTAAAGTGAGGCTCGTTGTGGTGAAAACGAACCTCATCACCCATAAAAAGACTCGATCCTCTTCTTCTGTTTTACGATTGCACGAGCTAGAACTATAGAAGCAAAGCTCGGGATTTCCAAGAAAGCTGTCCCGATGAGCTCTGTCTGAGAAGAGAGGAGGCACGTCCCCTGAAAGCATATTTTCCGAGAGGTTTAAGCTGTTGAGCTTCAGATTCTGCAGTGAGAACGGGATTTTGCCGGAGAAGTTGTTGTTTGAAAGATCGAGGTAGTTGAGCGTTGGGAGGTACCCGAGCTCGTCCGGTATATGGCCTGATAAGTGATTATTCGCCAAATCGAGCTCGTTTAGCAGCTTCAGTGACTGAATCTCTTTCGGAATCGGACCCGACAAATTGTTATTGCTCAAGTCGAGCCTCCCGAGCTGCTTTAAGTTTATAATGCTGCTCGGGATTTCTCCGGTCAGAGAGTTCCTTCCGGCAGAAAAATCGATCAAACCGTCTAATTGCCCGATTTCACTCGGTATTATGCCCGAGAATCTGTTATTCGAAATTGCGAGGATGGATAAGTTCTTCGCGCCTCCTATCGTGCTCGAGACCTTTCCGGAAAGTTCATTTCCGGAGAGCTCGAGAAGGTAAACCAGCGGTAGGCCCCAGAGCTGAGGTGGAACTTCGCCCTGCAGCCTGTTGCCTTTCAACCGTATGCGTAGTAAACTCCGGCATTCTCCGAGAGTCGCCGGAATATTCCCTGTTAATGCATTGTTCAACATAATTATTTCCAACAAAACCCCATTCAGGCACAAAAACTCGGGGATTTCACCGGAGAGATTACTATTATACGACACGTCTAGAACTTGCAGAGGCGAGTTCTTGCCGAGATCGCTCGGCAATGTCCCCCTCAGCCGGTTATTGAACAGACTGAGCTCTTGCAAGTTAGGTGACCTGACGATGCTATCCGGGATTATCCCTTCGAGTCGATTCTCGTACAAGGCGAGCGACTCGAGTGGCAATCCGCAAAGCTCGCCCGGGATAATCCCGGTCAACCCATTCATAGACGCATCGAGTCTTCTCAACATTGTCAGGTTAGACCACCCGGCCGGAAGAGTCCCGTTGAGCGAGTTGTTGTACAGCTCGATCTGGACAATATTCGTCATGCGCATGATCTGGGCCGGTATGGGACCGGTTAGCCCGTTTTGGGCCACGTCGAGATTCTGGAG